AAAAACTTTCAGAGTCAATTCCATCTAGAACAGGTTGCAGAAGATTCTTTAAATTCTCTATTGTAACGTGAACTTCTGTTACGTTACATTCAGTTGCAGCCCATTCTGCTAATTTGTTAGCGAGCAACTCTTTAGAAATATTACTTGTTAAAAACCATTCATGTATTATTATTATTATAGATTCCAGATTCAAGGTCAAAAACTGCTGTGATCTAAGATAAACTTCAGGATTCTGGTTCATAATTTCTTTGCATTTTTCTTGTAATTTTTTCAACTTCATAGCAATCGAAAATTCAAAAATGTAAAAAACATTTTTGTCATCGAGTTTGCTGCTAATAAATTCGTCACATTCTTTTTCCAATTTATAAAATATGTATTTCTTCGAAGAATAATAGATATTAATAGCATCGTTGATATTATCCATGGAAACTTTATTGGTGTAAATGTACCTAAAATATTAAAATTTTATATTACTTACATTATTCACAATCAAAGATTAAAAATTGTGATGAATGTTAACCAAGTAATGCTCATGCCAAATGAATGTTAAACGACTATTGGTTAACTTCTGAGTCATACTGTTATAATAAGTGTTAATAAGTATAAGATTATGCAAAACTTACGTTAGCATGTTCTGAAATGCTCTTGGAGAAACATCTTTGATGACCATTTTGCTATCCATCAGAAGAGGCCCGTAAAACATCGTATAGAAAACAGGACTTACTAAAGCAAAAATGAATTTGTGTCCATTCAAAACCACAATCGATTCATTTTCATAGTTTATTTCAAATTTAATATCAGAATATAAATTTTTCTTAAAAATAAAAGAAAGTCGTTCTGCAAATGTTTTCATATTCAATCGCCAGTTGTTAGGTCTTTTAGGCTGAAAATAAGAATTAAACAATAATTCAAATTATTGTTAATAATCATTAATATATTTTATTTTCCAAAAATTAAAACTTACCATTTCATTGATTAGATTTTGATAATATATTTCTTCTTCACTAATTGTTCCTTCTATCAAATTAAGAAATTATATTTCATTTCATTTCTACTTTTACTTGTTTAAATAACTTTAAAAATAATAATTAGAATTCGCAATTTTGATATTTGAACCCCGACTGCCAGATGGCCGTCTCTAAGCGATCCGGGTTCGAATGCGAACGGGTCGAAAAACTCTATGAATTTATCGGAGGTGGTCTTTCCGGATATGTCAGGCTTTTCACCTGGCTAACCCATTATTGATCTGGCCAAACCCATAATGGATTTACTCTTAGTATTTTTTAAAATATTTGAACCCCTCATTCGTCTCCCGTCGCCGTTTCATTATTAAAAAAAATTAAAGTATACATAATAATAATATTATTAAAAATTAATGTTAATTAAAAATATTTGAATAGTCTTAATAGTAATAAATCAAAATTTGGCATTGAATTTAATTTATAAAAAATAAATTTTCGATTTTTAAAAGAAATGTGCCGCAATTGTCGCTGCAATCGCGGAGATCAGCAGACGAACGGGAAGTTTACTTCAAAACTGTAACATATACTTTTATTAGATGAGAGTAGTCGTTCGACCCGCACGCATTTTAAGATTGATCATGGAAAATCAATCAATAATTAGAGCGGCTATATTTTGGGGTTCGCTCTCTATAATATGGTTAACTTCTATAGGAAATTTAATATCTGCACTTTTAATTGCAACAATTTTTTATTCATTCAGCGGAGGATGGAGATATTTGAAAATGTTGTATAATACGACGCCTAGAGATCTTAGGTAAGTGTTTAAAATCCTTTTAATATTAAATTAAAATATCTACTATTACAAAATTGCTGATGCTTCTTTATAAATCCTGTGTTTTAGAGATCATTGACACCATTTTGTATACTCTGTTGCACTTTTATATATATATATATATATATATTTCTCTTCAATTAATCATGCTTACTGTCTTTTGATTTCCACGTTTTGCAGTTTTTATCATCTGAGATCTGTTAAGTCTTACACATGTTTACATTTGTATATGCTGCGTATTAATACAGAAACAGAGCATTCTATATATAGTAATTGGGTTTCGGCTATGTTTAATTTATGAATTTAGAGTAGGCAAAACAATTTATCAAATTGCAGATGTGATGAAATTTTGCTCACAATGCCCACTGCCAAATGTCCGGGTTTTCTATGCCTTTGTGATGTCTAAATGGGAACTAGTTTCCTGTAGAAAGCCCTCCTGGATGGCCTTCCCCTTTGATGGATTGCCTGCATGTTACGTTGCCGTAAACGAACGAGCAGTTAAAATTTAATACAATAATGTTAATATAATTTGGACAAAAGGAAAAGTTAAGAAAAATTTGTCGTACAAGGAAACAAATAATTTGACAAGTTTTTTTGATACATAAAAAGGAAAAATAATTGTTTGTTTTACAGATGTATAATCTCCAGTTCTTGTAAGTGTGTTGTGTTATTTTATCTAAGCTACTTTCTTCAGAAATAACTTGAAACTTAGATCTTAATCATTAATTATTTAATGAAGTCTCATCTAATCTGAGTTAAACGGAGGCCACAACCGGACAAAATTGCCTTTTATTGAAAAGTATGCATTTTGGATTGGAATTCTGGAGGGATTTCCAGAGGGCCTGACACCCTCCCTCCAAAGGGAAAGAAAAAAAAAATGTAGAAAATTTTTCAAAAATCTTTTCCTAATTAAAATTCATATTTGTATTTATATTGTGTCATGTCTTCTGTTTCTACATTACTAATGAATTAATGGTTGTATAAGGTGGGAATTTTATTGAATTTGCATTAACAATGTTTTTATCCATTAACTTGGCTCCCCAGATTAAATCCTGAGTGTGTCACTATGAAATTCTGTTAATTCCTCTTCAGGGTAATAAAAAATATGGTATTCTTTTTATAAAACTTTATAACACCATACACAAAAACATACATTTTTTTAAAAATTTACTTTCGGAAGAAAGTCACTTAAGAGATATTACTGAATGTCCGAGTAGTGTAACCTAAAAAAAGTTATTGAACTATTCTGTTTTATCATATTGTGAGATTGATAATTATTTAGCCATGAATCAGTTATATATAGTCTTTGATCTGTATTTAGATTTGACCTTTCTTAATTATAATATTTGTTCAATTGATGACAATAAGTTTAGAGTCCAGCTGTCTAGATCAGTGGTTCTTAAACAGTGTTCTGTGAAATTATGAAAGCAGCATACTACCTGAAACTAAAATTAAACAAACTTTAGCATAAATTCACAGTTTTCAATGCGGATAAGATACAACTTGCATTATGTAGTTAACTACCCTTACATAGACAAGAAACTCAAATATTATATTTAATCAATGCAAATATTTTTCTAGTTTCAAAAACATTACTGGCTACAGTCAAGATCATTAAAAACACTTATTTTTAAAATATTTGAATATCTATGGAAGCTTCTTACAAATTTTTGCTTTTGTGTACTAAAGTTATTCAGGATAAAGTGATATGCCCATTTTTAGAACTTAAGAAGGAATTGTTGGTCTTTTTTCAAAATGAAAGCACAAATGCTTTTATAAAATGTCTTAAAAATGATATTTAGTTTGTTAAAATGGCATACTTAGGAAATATTTGGATAGCGTTAATATGAATATCCAACAAAAAAATGAAAATGTTTTGACATCATTAACAAATGTCAACATTTCAGGAAAATTCTCTCTTTGGAAAAATTACATATAAAACAAAAAAATATAATAGATATGTTTCCTTTGATTCATAATAGAAATTGTTTGTTATAACAGAACATTTAACACTATTGGAAGAAAACATTGTAACCTTTTTTCCGTAAATATAGAAAATTATGACCAGATATGAAATCAGTTTGGCACAGTTAGTATATCCAGTTGTGAATTTTTGATATGATAAGAACAACTGATTACCTTGTCAATTGGTAGTATGTTAAAAATGAAATTCTCTGAGGAGGTCTCTCATGAGGAATTTGGATTTTTGTCAATCCGAATAACCAGGTCTCTCCACGAGGCATTGAAAATGTTGTTAGTTTTCAACATAATATTTATGTGAGCTCACATCTCATATATACCAATATAAAATCTCAAAAACAGGAGACCTCCTAATATAAATGAAGAAATGAGAATCTCTATATCACATATTAGACTTGAAGTCTGCAAAAGCTGACAAGCTTGTGTATTACATTATAATTAATTAACTTAAAGAAGTTCCATTTTTATAAAAGATTTACTTTAGTTACAGATTTTACAAATATAATTTTTTAATTAATATTTTTTTATTATATATTCTGTAATCTATAATTTTTACTAAAAAGGTATGTTCATGCCTGTTTTTATTGTTGTTTTATGATTTTAGTGATTTTGCTGTTCCGCAAATTTTTCTTATATTCAAAAGTGTTCCGTGACTTCAAAAAGGTTAGGAACGACTGATCTAGATAATGATAAATACAAATTGTTGTATAGTTAGGATAGTGCAATTTATTGTAAAGTACTGTACACTCACTTTACGACCTATCTGCTTAACGACCACTCACACTTACGACCAATCGAGTTTTGACCTGCAATTCGGGAAATCCCCTTTCTCAGCTTGAGTGTCAATCAGTGGTGATTGGTGACATGCTCGATGAGCATAGTATAGGCTTGCTATGCACTTTTTTAGTCAGTTTGATGTAATTTAAACAATTGCAGGCCTTGCCAATGCACGTAATTTAGATGTTGAAGTGGAAGACATTGCTGAATTAGTGGATTATGCCGATGGAGAGCTAACAAATGAAGATTTAATAGAGTTAGAAGCAATGCAAAATTTGGAAGAGGAGGAAGTGAAAAAGAAATTCATGGTATGTTCTTCAAAATTAATGCGTCTATGTTGGAACTTGAGGCTATGGATCCAAATACGGAACATTTTAACATAAAGTTGAACGTAGGATGAGTGAACTTTTGAAGTGCTATACAGAAATTTATCAAGAAAAAAGATTACAATGCAAACCACAGTTATGAGTTTCTTTTCGACTTACATCCAAGACGTCCACTCTTGAAGGTACAACTTCTATTTCATTGTCATCATCTCCCTTACCTGGAAAAAAAACCTTTACAGCTCCAGATAACCAAATAAACAAATGATAATATGTACATATGCATGTCTTTTTATGAATAAATTTGAAGTTTGTTGCATAATTTTTATAATTTTACAACGATCCTACATTCCCGGCACGAGCTCTTTGCTTATCAACCAATTCACTTATGACATAGTCATCGGAACAAAACTTGGTTGTAAAGTGAGGAGTACCTGTATTACACAGATCAGAGATTAGTTTATTATTTACAATTTAAAAAGTATTTTTAGAATTTTCTCTTAAAGTATAAATTATATATCCTTTTAAATTATGTTTAGATAGCTTGTGTAATTTAAATTAAATATATAAATAGTGTTAATGATTTATCACTTTAATAAATTTTTGAAAGCTTTTTATTATATTCATTAGGCGATAGGTGTCTGTTTAAAATAAAATGATAAGAGGAAGATTATAGGAGTCGAGCTTTAAATAAAGCTTGACTCCTATAATCTTCTTCTTATAATAATCCTAATTACTCTTAATCTTTCTAGAAATTGTGCTTCTCCTGATATTACTTTGAGTTGACATACTTTGAAACTAGTTTTTTTTTTTTTTTACATTCCATGGCATCAATATTTTATTGCTAGTTAGATTATCATGTCTATATTTAAAATTAAAATAGCTTCATTATAGCATTCTTTATGATAAGACTATGGCTATAAAACAACTCATTATTCCTGTTCAGTGTTTATCATATAATAAATAATAGGAATATTGTACACTTGGATATTGTATTAGAATTAAAGTAGATGATACTGTACATATAGTACATAACAATACTAACATAAATCCTAATCTTATTATGCTCAGTATCATTTCTTAGAAACTTTAAATATTCCACGTTAAATTAAGTATAAAATTTAACTGTTCTGTAAAATGAAAATGTAAAAGCAATATTATAGTTGATCAATAGGAAAATTGTTAAAGGAACTTCAGAAACCCAAAGCATAGTCTATTTTGGTATTGCCATTAAATCAGAGGCATTTAAGTTGAATGGAAAGATATCATACAGAATTGATTATTAAAAAATATTTACTGTTATATCACACATGGTTTATACACATTTAAATTCAATGACATGCAAATGTTAGTCAGTTACTTGTAGTATTGTACATTATAACAACTTAGAAAATAATAATAGAACTCTACAATATGTTAACATAACTACAATAGCCAATCAAAAGCCAATACATATTAAAGACGATTCATTTTATCTCTTAAATCTCAACATAAATTAATTTCCAACAATTTTGAAATTAATGATTTAAGATGATGGATTTACCATTTGAAAATTAAATTTATGCTAGTTTAAAACATATATTTTCAAATCAGTAACATAAAAATATAACAGAAAAACTTTAATGGCATTTATAATAAAATCAGTAGGATTATGAACATGATGTAAGTTCAAACTTCTTGTTCAAATAGTTTGCAAATAAATTTGATAAAAATTAAAATTATTAAAAAGTAGCCATAAAATATAATTTTTGTGTGTCGAATAGAATAATATAAATAATATCAAATATAATTAGAACAAGTAAAATGAATGCCCTACTTATATTCTCTTACTAGTGTTGCAGTTGTGTTATAAAAAATATTGAGTGATAAATTATTAATTTATTAAAGATTATTATTACACTT